CACTTACCAAACAAGTAAAAGACCTATATAATAAGAACTTTGTGGCTCTCAAGAAAGAAATTAAAGAAGATACCAGAAAATGGAAAGATCTTCCATGCTCTTGGATAGGTAGGATAAACATAGTAAAAATGGCAATCTTGCCAAAAGCAATCTACAGATTCAATGCAATCCCCATTAAAATCCCACCACAATTCTTCACTGACCTTGAAAGGATAATAATCAACTTTATATGGAAAAACAAAAGACCCAGGATAGCCAAAACAACCCTATACAATAAAAGAATTTCAGGAGGCATTACCATTCCTGACTTTAAGCTCTACTACAGAGCGGTTCTGAAAACAGCCTGGTATTGGCACAAAAATAGACAAGTAGACCAATGGAATTGATATTCCTATGAACACCTGATTTTTGACAAAACAGCTAAAATTATGCAATGGGGAGAAGACAGCATCTTCAACAATGGTGCTGGCACAATTGGATGAGGATGTGTAGAAGACTGCAGATAGACCCATGTCTGTCGCCATGCACAAACTCAAGTCCACATGGATCAAAGACCTCAACATCAATCCAGCCACATTGAACATCTTAGAAGAGAAAGTAGGAGATACCCTTGAACAAATTGGTATAGGAGAACGCTTCCTGAACATAACTCCAGGGGCACAGACACTGAGAGAAACAATTAATAAATGGGACCTCTTCAAACTTAGAAGCTTCTGTAAGGCAAAGGACACAGTTGACAAGACCAAACGGCAGCCCACAGACTGGGAAAAGATTTTCACCAATCCTATATGCGACAAAGGGCTGATCTCCCAAATATACAAAGAACTCAAGAAACTAGTCAACACAACACCAAATAACCCTATCAAAAAATGGGGTACAGAACTGAAGAAAGAATTCTCAATAGAGGAAATCAAAAAGGCTGAAAGACACTTAAGAAAGTGCTCCACATCCTTAGCTATCAGGGAAATACAAATCAAAACAACTTTGAGATACCATCTTACTCCTGCCAGAATGGCTAAAATTAGAAACACCAATGATGACTCATGTTGGAGAGGATGTGGAGAAAGGGAAACACTTCTCCACTGCTGGTGGGAGTGCAAACTCATACAGCCATTTTGGAGATCAGTATGGCGGTTCCTCAGGAAAATGGGAATTAGTTTACCACAGGACCTGGCAATCCCCCTCTTAGGCATATACCCAAATGATCCACATCCATGCAACAAAGACATCTGTTCACCTATGTTCATAGCGGCACTATTTGTGATAGCAAGAACCTGGAAGCAACCTAGATGTCCCTCAATTGAAGAATGGATAATGAAGATGTGGCACATCTACACAATGGAATACTACTCTGTAGAAAAAAAAAATGGTATCTTGAAATTCGCAGGCAAATGGATGGCACTTGAAGAAACTATTCTGAATGAGGTAACCCAGTCACAAAAAGAGGAACATAGTATATACTCTCTCTCATGTATGGATTTTAGACCTAGATCAAAGGATCACCAGCCTAAAATTCACACCACCAGAGGAACTAGGATACAAGGTGTATTCTAAGAGATCATATAAAGTCCCTCACAGAACCAGGAAGGGACAAGTCCCCCAGAGCACAGGGGAAGTGGGGGGCAGCGAATGGAAAGAGAAGTAGGAGAAAATGAGGGGGAGGAAAGGAAAACACGTGCGACCAGGAAGATTGAGCCCAGTTAGGAATAGAAGACAGGAGAGAGAGAGAGAGAGGGAGAGAGAGAGAGAGAGAGAGAACATAAAAGAGGGAGCCAATATTGGTTTGAAGATAAAACTGAACACGAAGAAAGGTCTAGAAAACTACAAGACTGCCACCAACTAACAATTTGAGCTTCCGTGGAAAGGCTACCATAAATGCCCTTCCCGGATAGTGAGATCAACAACTAACTTATCTATGGAGCCCTCATCTAATGCCTGTTGGAAACAGGAGCAAACACCCATACATAAACACTGAGTTGAACTAGAACCCAGATGCAGATGGAGAGGACAAGACCAGGTGGCAGAAACACATAGAAACAGCTTACCTGAACAAGGAGGAGCTAACGGGCTACCAGACTGATAGCTGGGAAGCCATCATGGGACTGACTCAGGGTCCCCTGAATATGGGTCTCAGCCAGAAGGACTGAGCAGTCTAAGGGACCTCAGACAGTAGAGCCAGGATGTATCCCTGGTACACAAAAGGACCTTGCGAACACATCCCCCATGGAGGGATAACTGCCTTAACCTAGAGACAGGAGAGAAGCCCTAGTCCCTACTTCACATGACCTGTCAGATCTACATGACCCCAACTGGATGGCATTGCCCTACATATGGAATTGGGGTGGGGGATGGGATGGGAGGGTGGTTAGAGTGCATGTGAGAGGGCAGAGAGAGTAAAAGGGAGGGAGGGAGGGAGGAAGGCAGGGAGGGAGGGAGGGAAAGGGAACTGGGATTGACATGTAAAATAATAAATTAAATTAAAAAAAAATGCTTTGACTCCAAAATTTAAGTTCAAGGACAAGTTACTGGGGAAAAGGATTTCTATTTTTGTTTCCACAGAAAATAAAAAGCTGTGGATTCCTTCCAGACTAATGTGGTTTGATCAAGCCAGACCACCTGAAACAGAGTACCAGGTGATCCTACATTCAAAACAGCTGGACAAAGCAGCCTTACAGACTACAGCCAGGATTTCTGCATCTTCTTCGAATCCTCCATGACAGGGCCCCTTACCAGCAGGAAGTAGTTTGGAAAGAACAACGCCCAGATTCCCAAATATTGTCTATAAATGTTTGTTTTCATTTAAATGGACTTGGTTGTATAAAATAAATAAAAAAAAAAAACCACATTCAACGTATTCTCGTTCCTTGCAAGCAGTGCAAACACTACTGAGAGAGGAGACAGCAGAGAGAGCAGCATGGCATGGGAAAGACCAGGGTCACACCTACAAGACATGAAGTGTTTTATAGTGATCTGACGAGAACATAAATCAATAAAACAAGGGCGTGGCGACATGAGGGTAGAACCTAAAAATGAGGCAGAAAGTGATTCCACACACCCCAGGAGAACAGATAGGCCAGTTAGAAGCATCAGGGATAAGCTGGGCCATGCCAAGAGCCAGACTACAGGTGAAGGCATAGGATGGCCATGGGAAACAGCAGCAGAAAAACTGGAGATACGCTCGTAAGAGAATGCAGAGACTGTCCAACGTAAGGATCACTTGTACCCCTCATGCCCTAAACCTGGAAATTGCAAGACATATTAAAAATATATCAAACACTAAAAGCAGCAGCAATAACAACAACCTTGAACAATTGAGCTTACAGTAGAAAATGTACTTTGTTCTAGAAAATTGCTGTGGAAGGCTCAGTGATGAGGCATGCCCTGCTCTGCCGCTAAAACTTGCTACAAAGTTCTATAGACAGCTGAAAAAATCCAACTGTCACCAAGAAGGGGAAGCACGCACGCCTTGGACCTCACAGACACGGCCAGGCATCAGAGTTGGGAGCCTTCTGAAAGAGAAACTTATTCTCAGTTATTAATCCAGCCATGATGGAAACCCTGCTTCCTCGAGTTTCTTCATAGTTCCTATCCTGCTGATACCCCACCCCCCAAGTGACAGTACATTCTTGTAAAATGGTCTGTGAGCTAATCTTTGCAAGCACCCCCTGCCATCACTCATTTCTATCCAGTGCATGGGAAGATGCCAGGGCGAGGATGCCAGTGCTTGCTTCTTTATTTAATAATTTGTTTATTTTTACTTTATGTACATTGGTGTTTTGCCTGCATGTATGTCTGTGGATATCAGATCCTCTGGAACAGGTAGTACAGACAGTTGTGAGCTGCCATGTGGGTGCCGGGAATTGAACCTGGGTCCTCTGGAAGAGCAGCTGTCCAGGACCCAATGCTTGCTTCTGAGTGGTGGCATTGTTGTGGTGGCTTACTTCAGCCTTTGGCTTGTTTGCACTTGTCCAGTAAGGGCTACAGGGAATGAAAAGTGATGACGAAACCATGCTCAGCAGAATGCCTGGCACCCGTGTCCAAAGAGCTGAGTCCTGGGACCTGCTCCCAACAATCTGGGTTAGCAGAGCCAGCCTGAACAGCCACTCTTTGGCTTGCTGGGAAGGCAGCATCCGATGTCATAGATGTGCCCTGAAGGCATTTGTAGAGCTGCAATAAGACAAAACTGTACAATGAGGACAGGTGTTGAAGAAGCCAGTCATGGGAGTGGCCCTAAGTCAGGGGGCTGAGGAGAAGAATGACCAAGTGACCTGAGTGTCCAGTTATGAGCCTCAAACATTCTCCTCAAAGAAATGGGCCCCAGCTCTGTTCAGAACCTCCACCAGTTGGACAGCTCCAGGCCCCATGTTACTGAGGCTAAGATAAAGACTGTCACAGGAAAGCTTCCACTTCAAAGGCATGCATCCAAAGATCTAAGTTCTTCCTCATTTACGAAGCAGGCTTCACCATCTAAATTCTTTGAAGTTCAAAAGCAGCAGAAAGAGGAACAAACGACACCCAGAGGGCCTCAGGTAAGGACAGCCTGTGAGTTCAGTGTGTGCTCAACTCCACACACATTTCCCAGATGCACATGCTGCTGGGTGGGTCCTGTGACTCCCTTCGTTCCTCTCTCTCTCTCTTTGTGTGTGTGTGTGTGTGTGTGTGTGTGTGTGTGTGTGTGTGTGCAGGTGCCCATGTGAGAACAGATGCTCACAGAAACCAGAAGAGAGTACCAGGTCCTTTGGAGCAGGAGTTACAGGCTGATATGAGGCCCCTGACATGGGTTCTGAGAACAAAATTTGGATTCTCTGTAAGAGCAGTATGTGCCATTAATCACTGCTCATCCCCAGCCCTTTTCTTTTATCCAGCCCTCACATTATTCTTTTAAATAATGATACCATGGGTATCTCTGTAGTGGATGCATTTTGCCATACTGGGCTCTATTTCCTTAGATAAGAAAAGAAACATTAAAACCCTTAGTGATGAGTGTGGGAAGTTCTTACCTGGACTGGACAGTAAGTATCTGAAGTTCAAGTCATTGCTTACGCTGAGGTTCTTCAGGAAAGCATTGAAGTCCACCATGGAAGAGCCATTGATATTGTACTGTTTCAAGAACCTGCAATACAGATGTTCGCTGAAGCCAGAGCCACAAGTATGGACAGATGCGTGCTTATTACAAGATCTGCTTCCTACTGGTTGGGTACAGGACTGTAGTGTTTTCCTGACACAGCTCTAGCAAGAAGACCATGGGAAATACTGTTGTTGCAATTCTTAAATACAGATGTTTGGGACTGGGGAGATGGCTCAGTCCATACAGCACTGCTGTGCTAATGCAAGGACCAGAGTCCCATTCACAGAACCTACATGAAACAGACCAGCATGGGAGTGTCTCTGCTATCCCAGTGATGGGGAGGCGAAAGTAGGCAGACTCCTCCAGACACTGGCCAGCCAGTTTGTCCTCCTTGGGGCCAGTGAGAGGCCCTGTCTCAAGAAAACAAAAACAACAATGAAACAAAATGGGAAAAAAAAAAAAAAGAGGCAGGCAATCCCTGAGGGCAACATCCAAGGCTGTCCTTTAGTCTCCAATGCATATACACACCTACAGACCAAAAATGCAGACTCTTGAAGAAACACTTCATCACCTTGTAGAAGGGCACAGAGAGAGAATGAGACAGAATAACTAGGCCCCTTCTTGGGAACTTGGGAATGCCCCAGACATACTTCTTACACCAGAAGAAGGGAGGACACCAGATCCTAGGCCCAGGAGGCCACCTTTTCACTGGACAACAGAAACAACACTAGCTTTCTGTAGAAAGTATAGAGACAGGGATCTGGACAGTGAGCCAGCGAGAATCACATTGCTGTAACCAGAGTGTGAGGGGTGGGGGGATGCAAGCAGATCATTGTTTTAACTGACAGAAGCCTATCACCTCAGGAAACAGAAACCTCATCCCACAGAGACACATGGCCTCCAATCAGCAAATGGCCAGGGAGTCCAACTGTTCCTGGGGCATTTACGGTGTTTACATATAAAAAGACTTTTTCTGCTTGTTTTCAGACAGCTCAGACTGGCCTTGAATTTGCTATGCTCTAGCCTTGACCTCCAAGTTCTGGAGTTATAGGTATGGGACTATCACACCCAGCTTAGAACAAGAAAATTGAAAAACATGCAAAACACCTGTCTATCTCTAAAATACACTGAGATAAATAGGATGCTCTGGTTTTTAATGTGTTTGCTATTATTCAAATCTGTGTGTGATAAACATTTTTTAGATGATTTCTGGGTTACTACATTTCTAAAAAATTCACAGTTTTTAAATGTTTGGTTATATTCTCCCCATATGTGTTGGTTTCTATAATTACCTAGTTTCATGCTTTCCTCAAAATTTAGTAATTAATACTTAAAGTATTTGTTATTTTCTGGTTTCCAGATTGAGCAGAGAGTGCCATATATCTGTATCTGTTCCCCCCTTGTACCTCTCTCCCCACTTTGATGACGCTTCCTATTGTCCTGATAGGAAAACTTATCCAGAGAAAAGATGGCTGCCAGATGTTAACTAAGGAACTTTCTAAACAGACTCTGAGCCCTGATCCTGTGAAAACAGCCCAGAAGCTTGAGACCCGGGAAGCAATACCTGCCAGTGTCTTTCTAAGTCCCGCAAGGCTGATGGCCAGCACACTGTTCTAGCAAGGCAGGGGAAGCATGGTGAGCGGCTCACCCAGCACTGGAGACCTCCATGTGCAGCAGCCCAGCAGCCAGGGTCTGCTCACAGGAGAATGCTAGCTTGGGCTAAGGCTCTGGAATCCTATGCTCAGAAACTTGCATGCACACAGAGGACAGATGGAAGCCCACAGTAGTGCACCCTGGAGAAAAGATCATAGGGATGAAGAAGTCTGGCACTGAACAGAAAGGCAAGGGCTTTACACAGGGCCAGGGAGGTGGCTCAGTCTGTGAAATGTTTGCTGTGCAAGATGAGAACAAGAGTTTGATCCCTAGAACCCATCTTTAAAAAACAAACAAACAAAATACCAGCTGGGTGCAGTGGTACATACTATAATGCCAGAGCTGGGGAGGAGAGTCCTCAGAGCTCACTGGGTAATCCATCTACCCTAGTCAGAACGCAAGTTGGTCAGCTCCCAAGGAATGGCATGGCTGACCTCTGGCTTTCCTGTGCATGTGCACACACATGCATGTATACATGTGTGAACATAAACATACAATAAACAATTCTAAAGGTTTTCAAAGAAAGAACTTCAATGAAACTGTTCTTAAGACCCAGGGACTCAGATTCCAGGTGTCAAGGCTGGGATGGATACACAGCCTGCAGAAAGCAGCAGGCAGGTGGGGCTCACTGGAGGCTGAATTGAGGGAGAAAGGGATCCCAGTGAGCCTATGGGCCTTTCCAGCATCACCATGTGGGAAAGCCCCTTGGGGGCAATCCTGGCTCAGGCCAGCCTTCTGAGGTTTGCTTGACTACTGGGCTGCTCATCAATGACTTGACATAAATTTAGATTCAAATGCTTGGGCCTGGGGAAAGATGGAACATGGGATGGAGTGATCCAGGAAAAGAAGATCAGCATGTGGGATGCTAGATGGTGCTGGTTGGCGCTGATGAACCTGGTGGTAAGTTCATCTCTGACCTTGGGTTATGTATAGGCTGAGAGGTGTTCTGTGGGCAGACAACAACTGTCTACAAGTTGTAACCATATCCTGGGTCATCAATATTGTGAAACTGTCCAGTGAGATGAGCACCTGTCACATGCAAGCATATCACAGGCATGCCACATTATATCATGTCTTCATTCCCATGTTGTGCGGTGTGTTTCTCGGTGTTTATTCCATTTTCCACATGTGTGCATGCACATATGTGTGTGCTCATATGCTTTCATTGTGAGTGTATGCGTGCACAAACATGCTGGTGAATGTGGTTGGGTATGTATGGTGACACCAGAGGACAACTTCCTTGGCTATTGATCCTCATGTGCCATCCACTTGTCTTTGTTGTTTTGTTTTGTTGGTTGAAATAGTTCTCTCATAGGCCTGGGACTCATCAAGGAGGCAGAGCTGGCTAGCCTGTGAACACCAGAGATCCACCTGTTTCTACCTTGCAAACCCTGGGTTTACAAGCACATGCCACTACGTCCTACTGTTTTTCTTTTCTTTGATGTGGTTTCTGGGGATCAAGCTCAGGTCCTCATGCTAGCAAGGTAAGCATTCTGCCATCCCAGCCCACTCAACACCCATTTCTTTAACAGAAAACTGAATCCTGGAAACATCTTGGTGTTCCAGAATCAGGGAATGTCAAGCACAGCTTTGACTTCAGAGCCTAGCCCATCCCTACCAAACCTATTGCAGACCCTAAACAGAAGAAAGCTGCTAGACTGAACTATTAAAAACACATTGTGCATCCTGCTCCAAACTGCAGAGGGTGAAGTCAATACCAAAGCAGCCACAGGTGACAGTGTCTTGTGGGGCCTCAAGAAGGAAGGCACGATAACCCCTGCAGAAGCCAGCTCCTTTGAGTGTCTGTGTGGGTCTGCAGGAACCAATTCTATTGTGGGACATTGTTTGGGCTGTGCTGAGAAAATAGCATTGTTTCTGAGGCTTTAAAGCAATCTCGAATAAAAAATTTGTGGAGTTCTTTATTATTCAATACTTAAGAGATGGGGAAACAGACAGTAACTTTTTTTATAGATTTACTAGGTTGGAGACTGCAGTGCCAAACACAAGGTTTATTGTCAAATAAAAGCCTGCTTTGTTTCTGACGGCCTGTTTTAGAAGAGGGCTTCCTCCGCTCTGTAATTGCATGCACAAAATTATTTAATTTGTTTTGTTTGGATCTTATTCTGGACACTTTCCCAGCCAGAAAGGATGTAAAAATTAAAACATCTATTATGCCTTTTATATTCTGAGGTAGGTTATAAAGAGGAAGAAAGAAGAGCATATTCAAGAGTGGAATCTATTTTCTTCTTAAGGCTCTGGTTGTGAGCCCCAGCTGAGCTGCAGTCACATGCCCTCTGTGACACCTTGCTCTGGGGAAAGTCCCTCTACTGCCTGCATCCCTGACCTTCTTTAGGAGGTGTGTCAAAAGCCACAGTGACACCTCACAACAGCAGCCTGTAACTCCAGAGCAAAGCCATGCTCTTAGTCTCTGCAGAAACAATAAAGGGATGGTGCTTTGAGAGCAGCCTGAATGGTCCAAGCATTCCCGAGTCACTAGGACATGAGCCTAGGCCCACAAGTGGATGCCTGAAATCATGTGACACTGAACCATCTCTCTACATATGTACACATGTGTGTCTGTTTGTATTATGTATTATTTTTTTCCTGTTAATTCATAAGCATACTTAGACATTAACAAGAATACTTAAAGGGGGGACAAGATGCTACTCTATGATAGAAGGCATTCGGAATACATGAACTATTTATTTTAGGACTCTTTCACGGAGTACTTTTGGACCAGTGAACTGTGGGTAACTGACACCCCAGGAAATGGAGCTAAGGCCCAGGGCAGCCACTCTGCTTAGAGTTGGGCTGGGAAAGAGCAGGAGGAGAGCACCCTCTCAGCTGGGCATTCATAAAGAAGCACCACAGGGCCCTCCTCCAGTGCTTCTCACTTGGAACTCACGCAGGGCAGGAGACAAGCATCCTGAGTCTATACCTTGAGTGCCGTGGTGTAACCTGAGTCAGAGCAGGTGGTGACATCTGACAAGTGCCAGGAAGCAGATAAATGCTTTATGTGAGTCCCCATCCTCTGTCACAACCTGCTGTCCCAGGAATAATGTCCATAAAGGAGAAGGGTGTTGGAGTCATTGTGTGAGGAGGCAGAGCCCATAGTGGGCACCAACAGTGAATCTCTACACTGGCCTCTTCTCTTTGCCCCAGGCCTGGAGTCAAACTTGCTATGGATTGAAAACATACACAATGGGGACACTAAATAGAAAAGAGTGACAACAGGCAATGGGTTAGTCAGTATCCTGTGTTTAGATCTGAAAGACGTTTGGTCGTGCCTGCTCAAGGAGTAAGAGACACTAGGTCCCACTTTTGAGTTCACAGCCTTATGAATTTGGGAGAAATGTCCAAAATGAAGATGGAGGGAGGGACCCATCAACCTGCTTTCGTCATTTGACCCAGGCAGGCCCTGGCTGCATGGATCATCCCAGCCTCTCTGGCCTTGCCACTCACATCTCATACTCCTCATCCTTCATCTTCAGGCAGAATGTCTCCAGGACCCGTCTCAGCTCTTGGGACTGCACCTTGCCTGTGCTGTTGACATCGATGAGCTGGAAGGCTTTCTTCATGGTCTTCATGTTTCGGAAGATCTACATAATAAAGAGGGATTTTTGGAAGAGTCAAGAGGCCCTATCTGATCGTAAAATCGTAAAAACTCAAATGCTAACAAATTGTGTGGAAGCTTTTTTTTTTTTTTTTTTTTTTTTTTACTACTTCTTGTAAAATAATATGTTTTCAAAGATTCTCAGCAGTACACATTGCACAATGACATCTTTGGAAAAAAGAACACTTTGCATATATTGAGAGTTTGCAAGGCAATTGTCTCAGTAAATGGTCTTAGTAAGTTAAAAAAAAAACTCTTTTTAATGTAAAGCAGTAAGTCTCATACACAATTCATCCCTTTTTAGGGCTGTATGAAAAAAAAATCTTTTTTTTGTTAATTGATGCTGAAAAACTAGTCCTGGCATAGCTGGACTTGTGTGATTTTTGCTTTTCATGGCCATATGCGAACTATTTTTACTGCTAGCTAGAAAATCTGACGGTCTATTTCAACCTCCCAATTTTTTTTTTAAGATACCACAGAAAAGTTTTGCAATAATCTCTGAATTCAGCAAAGGAGAGTCACTGTGTGAGGTGTTTGGTAGGGAAAGAAGCAAGGGCGGGGAGCAGGTCTTCATCCAGTTAGACTTCTATGGGGCTCATTTGAGAACACATAGCCCTATTAGCAAGTGCTCCCATCCCACCAAATCTGCATTTTCAGATATAAAAACTGAGGTCCAAGGAGACCTGACTCAGCAGCATGCAGCTAGACAACACGGTGCCATCTTTCAGCTCCAGCCTGTCTTTTCGTGGCACTCCCCTGAAGGAAGGCTAGACATGCAAACACAGTGTCAGCAGAGGAAAACAGCAGCTGGGAGTGAGAGCCAGATACCAGGCGGGTAGAGGCATGGGCCTTCAGAGGAGCATAAACACTTCTGGTTAGTGTAGTCTGGGAGGCTTCCTGCAGGAGGTGGCATTGAGCTGGCAGGGGTGGGTGACCCCAGAGTGGGGACAGGAGGCACTGGCACAGTCGGGAGAGAGAGAAACGGTGAGAGGGCTGGATCCTAAGGGATCTGTTTTTACACTCACAGGAGCAGATCCAGCATGTCCGGCCTGGATTTAGCAAGCCTCAAAGAGTGGGGAGAACTGCTAGATAGCAGGTGGATTCCCTTTCCCTACATGTTCCTATGCTGTCCAAGGCTGACAGAACCTATCCATAGGACAATCTCTCTTGCAGCCTCCCCAGGGCAGCCATCTTCCATGAGGAGTCAGGACCTGGGTAGGGTGAGTGGTGTTCTGGAGCTGCTTCCAGCCCTTGCCTCTGCCTCACCCTGGCCACTTGTCCCTCCGCCTACTGCACCACCCCTCTAATTGTGTCACCAGACTCTCCTGCCAGGGCTATCTAAGCCCTGTGTGTCTATGCAAGACCATCCTCTGACGCCTGAGCTCACTTCCCGAAGCCATGGTTTCTACACAAGCTCTGTGCCATCTTTGTACCAACAGCCACTGACCCTGCAGATCAAGGTGCTTGCTCCCTTGGCCTTCTAGGGCCCCCACTTCCACTACCTAAAGCCCACCAGCCTTGCCCCACTCGGTCCCCTGCTTGCAATTCCAACCCTCTCCTCTGTGCCCTCACTCCCTATTCTTCCTCATCAGCACCCCTCCAATACATGACCCCCCTTCTCTCTACCTCCCCAACCTTGAGTGGATTCAGTCCATGGCCTATCCCATAGTTGTGTGTGTGTGTGTGGGGGGGGTATAGACAGTTGTGAGCCATCTGCTATGGGGACTGGGAATCAAACGCCAGTCCTCTCCGAGGACAGTGCATGTTCTTAATGGCTGAGCCATCTCTTCAGCCGCTCTCCCAGACTCTCCCAGGAGGCCTGATGTGCCTGGAGAGAAATGTACCAATAAGTGCTTCCTCTCCCCTTAACTCAGAACTCTCATTCCACCAGGATTGGGTACTGCATTATGATCCTTCTTTGCTGCCATAGTGCACACACGAGCGCACGCGCGCGCGCGCACACACACACACACACACACTCCCTTACACACATATTCCCTTACACACACATACCCTCTCTCTCTCTTACACACACACACACACAGAGAGAGAGAGAGAGAGAGCCACATATGCATACACACATTCCTATGCTCAGAATTGAACCCAAGACTTTGCATACGCTAGGCAAGGGTCCCCATGGAACCAATATCCAACCCCATTCCCACCTTCTTCACACTTTCCCAATCTTTATGTCGTATGTCCTGCCCCCTCCTTGCCAGGCTGGCTGTTTGCTTTATGGAGAATATAGCTGAGCCCAGATATGAATATCCAACACTTATCTGTTACATGCCAGGGACCCTCAGATTTGCCACGCTGGAGCAGCGCTTCCCACACCCTCCCACCCCGTGGATGGCAGATATACTGCCTTTTCTCTATACTCACTCACATCCAGCCCATCTGGATAGCCCCTCAGCACTTTCCTGCACTTCTAGAAGAATCCTTGGAAGCTCACAGGACCCTTGTTGTCTCTGTGGTCCCTCAGAACACATTAGCAACACTTCAGGAGAGCTCTCTCCCTGCTAGTCCTGGGGTCTAGGGTGCCATTGGGTGGAATGTTCATGCTCAGGAAACATGTGCGGGAATGAATGACGATCCTTCTTGCCTGCCTGGAAAAAAAGAAATATGCCGGGGAAGCCTTGTGGTCTAACTGCAAGGGCCTTCTCTGACCTATCAGGGATCTAATGGCTCTGGCCCAGTTAAAAGATGTAACCACGGCATTTGATTGCTGTCCATATGACAACCATCATAGGATCACTGACTGCCAATTGGAAAACCACATGCTGAATTCACCACAGCCCACGGTCTTCTAATAGCCAGAGCACATGAGTGACCCTGATTGGGGAAAGCACAGACTAGCCTGCACATCCACTCCATCCCTGAGTCTAAAGATGGAGCTCCAGATACCCACAGCAATTGCTCCCAGGGCCAAGAAGCACTGTAGCATCGTCTCTGCTGCTAAGTGCCTGTCCTCCTCTTCTGGGAACGCGGAGGAGGACAGGAGTGACACCCTGCTTTACAGCCCCATGGCAACCCATATGGGTCCCCTACATGGAGAGCCGCAAGCCGCAAGCCTGGCACAGAGCTCATGCCCACCTGAGGTACTTCTCCAAGTTTCCTATCACTTGTCAGACGCAAGTTTGGCATCAGCCACAGAAGCTACAGATGGTAAGGCTTAGTGAAGGCAACTGAGTGAGGGCCATGGTGAGCAGGACTGGTCAGGATGGGGTTGGAGAGAAGACCACAGGAACAAGAAAGCAAACAATGAGGGCCCAGCCCTACCCTGCCCCACCATTACACCTCCCCTGTCAGTGTTAGTGACTTGGAATTCCCACAAGCCAGGAGCATTTCTCTGTGCTGGAATACTACAAAACCCTTAATGATCCTGGCCTCTCTGTCTCCCTTCCTCTGCTCTAGCGGTGAGCCCACCCTCACCCTTGCTCACAATAGCAAGCAAATAAACACTTTCATAGCTCTGGTCTCTTCTGCTGGCTAGCTCCTGCCCAGCCCTCACTTGTGTCTTGGCCACACAGCATCTGCTCAGAGAGATGCCTGGGCATACCTTCAGCCTGTTTGACCACTTGCTTCATTTCTCTTTGCACCTGTATGGAAAATAGCCCTGCTCTAATCTGCAGTGGTACCCTTGGGACTCAGTACTGCCTGGGCTTTGCATGCTGTAACTGTTATCCAGAGAGACTTCCCCCGTCCTCTGCTGTCCAGTGAGGCAGGGATTGCTTCTCTGTTGCTGTGGGGAAATACTCTGATCCAAAGCTACTGAAGAAGGACACGGTTTATTTCAGTGTCTATTTCCGGGTCCCAGTCTACCACTGAGGGAAGTCGGGCAGGAACTGAAGCAGGAATCACAGAGGAAATCTGCTTACTGGCTTGCTCTTTGCTTATGTTCAGCTGCTTAAGGATGGTGCTGCTCACAGTGGGCTGGGTCCTCCCACAGCAGGTAGCAACTAAACACTCTCATAGACATAGTCAAAGCCCGATCTGATTCAGGAAACTCTTCAACTGATGTGCCCTCTTCCCAAGTGGCTCCAGGTATAAAAACTAACAAGGGAAGTCTGGTACCTTCTCCCCAGCTTTCCTAATTGCTCGTCTACCTTGGCAGTGTCCCCTGATGCTGACCTGGATATCCTGTGTAAATCTGGTCAGAATTAGATGAGTAGTCTCCCTTGAGGGAAGGAGGGCCATGTCCACTCCCTGTCTGACTATGCTGTCTGTTGTAGCCCTTCCCAAGGCCCTGGTGTCACACTGGGGAGGAGTAGATACTAGTTACAAAAAGAGGGGTTGCTACTCCTAGTTGCCCTGTTCAAAACCAGCACACTTCTCAGAGAGCAAGGTATGGACCTCATGCCTACCCCAACAGGTCAGCCTTCCTGATGTTTGCCTCTGTGCTGGTCTCCATTCCTAATGGAAACCTAACTTCCATGCAAGTATGTGAAACCACTGCTTGCCAACCAAGTTTACATATCTGAAAGCTAAAATTGGTTTTAGCAGTTTCAAATAGTTGGGGGAAAATCAAATAAAGAATCTATTGCATGTCATATGAAGTAATGTGAATTTCCAATTTCAGTGTCTACAAATAAATGTAAAGGATTCAGCCATGCCTACTCATTTACATATTGTTGGGGCTGATTTCCCTACCAGGACCCAGGCAGCAGGTTGGAAAGATCCTGGGGACACAAAGACCAGATCTACTCCATCCTCCCTGACCCTCTGCAGTATACGATCATTGGGCATTCTGCTCTCCCACCCACACATCCCTTGCAGACAACTGAACAGTGAAGGCATTTCAGGGGAGAAACATGCACAGAGAAGAAGTGCAGAGGATTTAAAGCAGATAGCTGACAGCCAGGTACTCCAGTGGCTGAGGCATGTGGAATAGGTGAAATGTCACAGGTTTGAGACCAGCTTGGGCTATGTACTGTCACAAAAACAAAACACATCAGTTTTGCCCCTTTGTGAGGGTTCGCATCTGTA